TCAATATTTTTCAATATTTGGTGTAGAGAAGCACACCGGGGTACCGCTAGTATTAACAATATTTTTCATGTTGAATGTTTTTTGTTAACTTTTTATTTACAGCTGCGAGCAAAATATGGCAGAAAAATTCAAAATTATATTGTTTGCTACTTATGTGTATTTATTTATTTTCAATAATTTTATTTTTAATAGTTCCGTCTACTATATAACAGAAACCACATAAATAAAAGTTTCAAAGCTTGCACAAAATTCCCAAAAATAAATCAAACTTAAAAATATTTTCATAAATATTTCGAACTTTTTATTCAGGACCTTTATAAGACTTTCGGGTATACAGTTTTGTAGCCCGTTCACTTTTAGTCTGATAAAGTGCAAGTTTCAAGTCGCTAAAAGTTACCGTTGATTTTTTATATTTTTTTGCGGATGGTGTAGCGCTTTTTTTGCCATATAAAATACTTGTCAACTTTGTGCACACACGAGCGCCTTGGTATAGGCAACGGATTTGTGCACAGTAGCGGCAGCACAGTTAGTGAATCGCACAATCGTTACTGCAAACAACAAAAATTGTTAGCTGACAACTCGACAATTCGCATTGTTAAAAGTTAGTGAATCGCACTACTGTCCTCCGCAGTGAAATTCCAAACCAGGCAGTATAAATACTAGTTCGTTAACTAGTATGCGCTAAAGCGACGGCCTACTACTTCGGCAATTTCGAACAACTTATGCGATCAGTGACATCTGTCTTTGCATATCCACAACCAAAACTAAAATGCGGTTAATTGCTTTCATTACAAATGTCGGCTGTGGCGCCGAGAGAAGACTACCGATTCTGGTTCTGAGATCTCAGGTTCGAGTGCGCGTGGAGGTTGTTAAAGTAAAGTAAGTAAATTAATTTAAATAATTATTTAAATTTAAATATAAAATAAAAATTGTACATAAATTTAATTTCATTTGGAAAAAACCTAATAGGGAATTTACAGGCAATTTTTAGGTGAAAGCAACAATCGCCTGGTGTAAACGGCCTTTCAATTAATCGCTTTCAATGAAGTTGGTCGGCTGCCTACTTTCGTTCAACTTTTGGTACAACTAATCGCCTGTGAAAGTTGAATCATGTAAATTACCTATAAATACTCAAATACCATAAAAAATTAAAACAAATAATTTGTTGTTCTTTTTAAAACAATAAGATTAAAAATTACAAGAGATATAAATAAAAAATAAATAAAAATAAATATAAAAAAGATTCGCTTACTGAGATTCGAACTCGGATCTCTTGATTTGGCGTGCTAAAGCTTTACTCTGTCGACCATTGCCACTGTTGCAGCGCCGCGAATGACATACTTATGATTTTCACGGGGAATGAATAGGCAGTCTATCCCGTCAACTGGTATGATGCTACTAGTATTTCTACTGGTAGCGTGCTGATGCAGGAGCGGACAATTGGCATCTCCTATGACACCGCCATGTTAAAAATTCCAGTCGCTAACATTAAAAAAGGATACAACGTGAACTAGTTGGGCTGAAACGCAAACTGGTAGCATTCTGGTTCACAACCAGTGTCGCCATTTTAGCCGTTTTCCGGTTATATTTAGCCGGTTGCGATAGCAAACAGCCGGAGAAATTTCGGATTAGCCGGCAGCCAGTTTGTTAGCTGTTTTGCAAAAAAATTAGCTCTTTTTAGCCGATTTTACTATTTGCCTTGTTTTCTTAAAATTCAAATATATACATTAGACTGCATCACTCCCCATAAAAAAAATCGTTACTGTTTTTCCATTGGAATTATAAAATCTATTATATTTTAAGACGTTCACGAAAATATTTCGGAAAATATTAAGATTTAAGCGAACTGGACCGATTTGAAAATACCTCCAAAAATGGATGATAAAGATGTTTTTCGAAAAAATCCCCTCAAATGACAAAACGGTTTAAGCTTAAGAAATGTCCATAAAAATATTTAAAAGAAATAAAATAAAACTCTGAACGGAACCGTAATAACGAGATTTTTGATGCTATTTTTTAACTTTTTTCAAAGATTGGTATGAGAGAAACTTGAATAACTGAACCTAAACTCTTCCGATTTAGACGCGGGAGGTATCATTGGAAAGGTATTTTCTCAAACTTTTTATTTATTTGCTAATAAGCTCATTCAAAGTATGAAAGAGAGAGGTAGGATGAACAAACATCATTCTAAGTTGAATTAAGTAAGATGTGTTGGTATGTGAAAAAAAAATTTGGGACACGAATGACTTTTTTTGCACATAAATAACAGTGGGAAAATATCTTTCTACCAAGATCCCATAAGTATATCCAGAATAGTTTTGGCCCAGTTATTCAAGTTTTTCGTAAATCAATCTTTGGAAAAAGTAAAAAACCAGCATCAAATATCTCATTATTACGAATCCGTTGAAAAGATTTTTAAAAATGTTTATGCAGATTTTTTAAGCCTAATCTGTTTTGTCATCTGAGGGGACTTTTTTCAAAAAGTATTTTAAGAAACTATTTTTATTCATAAAAAACTTAATTTTTGGAGGTATTTTCAAATCGGTCCAGCTCGCTTAAATCTTCACATTTTTCCGAAATATGTTGGTGGACGTCTTAGAATATAATAGATATTGTAATCCCGGCAGAAAAACCGCAACTTTTTTTGGTGATGTAGTCTAATATACATATGCTTCCATTTTAGACTAAACGACTCAAAATCTGTTAGAAATGGCTACTAGCCTTATCGCGGAGAAAATTTTCATGTCAGGCAGGGTGTTTAGGCGTGTCTGCTAACACCAGGCGCCTAAATACATGCTATGTACTGCTGCATGTAATTGAACTTTCTAAAGTTTTGATTAGATAGCACTTCAAAGTATGCTCAGCCTAGTCTGGTGCATCCTCCGGACACTGCTTCCGGAGCATTTTGCGGACTCTGCATGGCTTACATCCGTGCAGAGCTGGTAAACGAACTTTACCATTGGCCACAGTGCCTACCCACCATTTTTGAACCAATAATATTTTTTTTTTTATATTTTATAAATACATACATGCAAACATACTGGTCTGTCTCCCCTCTCACTGAGTTATTCACAGCAGTGTTGCCATGTTTTTGGCATGAGAAAACGTCCCTCTTGGTCTGAAAAAACGTCATTTCCTACCCAAAAACTTCTTTTCCATGTACGCACGCAGAATTGTTCTTATTAAACTTTTATTATATACAAAGGTACATATGTACGTAAGGTATATTAAAATGTCATTTCGACAGAGCACATTTAAGATTCATTAGTGGTATTCACCAAAGTCAGCAAGTGCCCTGGCACTCTGGCAAAACAGCAGATGAGCTCAAGCAACGACATTGACAACAATTTGGTGAATACCACTATTTTAAACTCGTTTGAGATCGTTAATATAAAAATCCTTTTATACATACACTTGTGATCAGCTGATTAAGTCATCAACATTTTGATCGATATTGGCTGTTTTTCTTTTGTTTATTATTTTTGCATAGCTCATTATATCACTAACACAATATAAATCCACAGTTCAAACTTTGTGCAAAAATTATAAAAAATCTGCAAAGTTTCAGCTTTTTTCAAGTTTTTATTCAGAATTTTTTTCCTTCCTAAGGTGTTGAATTACTCGAAACGCTTAATGTACGCTGATGATGTTAAGCTCTTTAAGTACATTAGTACTGCAGAAGATAGGGAGCATTTGCACGCTGACCTAACCTGCATTTTCCATGTCACTCAATTTGAAAAAGTGTAAAATCATTACTTTCTCTAGAAAATCGTTCTACCCAAATTCGTATATGATATCTGACCACAATGTTGAGCAAGCGACCAATTTCATTGACCTAGGTGTAACTATGGATCCGAAACTAGAATTCAAGTCTCACATAAATTCCTGCGTGATTAGGGCTAGAGGATTGTTGGCTTTTCTTAAGCGCTGGGCCAAGGAGTTCAACGATCCTTATGTCACTAAAGTTCTCTTTACCTCTCTAGTTAGACCTATTTTGGAGTATGCATCTATAGTATGGAATCCTAGTTATCAAATTCATAGTGACAGGCTCGAATCAGTGTAGAAACAGTTCCTGTTATTTGCCCTCAAAAATTTATGTTGGGACTCGTCTAAAAATCTCCCACCCTACAAGGATCGCCTGAAGCTTATAGATTTACCGACGCTTCAGAGTCGTAGAGAGATGCTTGGTGTTCGTTTTTTAATTAAATTAATGAACGGGATCAGTAGTCCCCTTTTACTGAGTGAGATAAATTTTTGTATTCCCACAAGATCCACGAGACATTTTAAACCTATTGTGTTGAGTATTTGTAAATCAAACTTTGAAATGCATGATGCTTTTCGGTGTTTATGCCAAGATTTTAACAAGCATTATGATTGCTTCGACAAATCTGAATCCCTTTTTGTAATAAAGAAAACTTTGCTTAACAATTTAACTAAATAAATTAATACCGTGAACGAAAAAATTACACAACATCTATGACTGCTTAATACAATTGTAACGGCTTCGTATATTTCCGCGACCGCGTAGGACAATACGAGCAGGGATCGGAAACTCGGCCTTTCCGACCTCGCCCAACAGTCCGTCTATAGCGCGGAGCGGAAACTAGGACTTTCCGCCTGCCTCACTTACAAAGTAATGACTACGGGAACATGGATCGGAAGCTCGGCCTTTCCGACCATGATCAACGGCCTGTAAACAGCGCGGAGCGGAAACTAGGTCTTTCCGCCCGCCGCACACAAAAGTAGACTGGAGACAAGGCCTCGCCAGCTACCCAAATTGCTATTGTATATCATTATTATCTTTACAAGTTAATATTTATAATTATTTCACTCTGTAATGTATCATACATACTTAAATATCTAAATCTTTTTATCTCAATTGTCTGTAATGAAAACATTTTTCTGTAGACTAAATAAAAAATATAAAAAAAAACTGGTAGCTTTCCCTGCAAGGTAGCTATTGACGCGCACACACTCACCCATACATACACTATACTTACACTTGGTATATTATCGCTATTGCAAACTTGCTCCGACAATAATCGATCTCGAATCTCCCATGCGAAAATGCTCGGACATTCCCGCTTGTAATCAGCTATTTTTTGTACGACAGGTGTTGTGGCGACACGTGGTTTTGAGCCACCTATCGCCCGTGGCTTAATGGATCCCGTTTCGTAATATCTGAAAATATGAAAGAGTTAATAACGGTTTTATGCTGAAATTTCGTAGTTGTACCACACTGCTTATAGCCTTAAACGGTGGTCCATAATTTACGTAAGATTTTAAATAAATGGAAAGGAAAGATGTTTTTACAATTTCATTTTCCTTTTAGTTATTTAATCATAAAGTACATAGGTTAGGGTTATGTCTGGAATAGTACAGTGTGCAAATGAGCCTCAATTATGGGACACCCAAGAATGATAGAATACAAGATTGCGCCGTCCTGGCCGTTGACATTTGTGTACCACAAGTAAACAAAGAATAGAGCGAAAAGAAGAACGAATTGAAACTGCTTAAACGGTTCACTTTACAGCGAAAAACGTGTTTTAATTTTGCTAAATGCGAAAATATTGCATTTTCACATAATCTATTAGAGAATAGTGAACGTTAGTGCACTCGATTGCTTTGCAATCGAAGCTTCTGCAGCAAACATTTTAGTGCACTCCATTGCATTGCAATTAAGGCTGATGCAGCAAACTGCGGCAGGATCCCAGCGGGATTATTTAGTTAACTTGCTAAAGGAGGATTCTTGGAGCAGAAGCGAAGTGATTGTGACGAAATGCTGGCAATATAATAATATAGATACATTTCGAGAACGGCTTTACCGCGCCCTATGTATACAAAATGCAGCGATTCGTCGCAGCGCTACAGTTGCATCTACGCATCTCGCATCTTGACGGCTGTCGAAATTTAGCACAAGGCACTTCATTCTATTAGTTTTTAAACCGTCTTCAACTCAAAAAGCACTCACAAATTGCAAATTAACACAATTTAAACTGATTTTCCACTTATATTTAAAATTCTCTTTGTCGCTGATTTGTAAACAAAGGTTTATTTACAAGTTACCACAACTGTCAAAATCGGCAAAACCAAAGTAGCGGTACCACTGACGGCGCCACCTTTGTTCGCTGCACCGTGTGGGACACCCTTATTATAGCATTTTTATGCTAAGTCAATACGTAATTGATTTTTTGATTGTGTACCTAAATGCAAAACATTCGAATACATACATACCCTGCAAGGAAACCGCGGGCTAGTGAATCAAATTTCTAGTTCCATAATACATACTTGTTTCTTTCGTCTGTCGATTTTAGAACTGGTTCGGAACTGTAGAATTTAGGACTAGTTCGGAACTATCGAAAAAGGGATGCAGCGGGGGCAATTGACACTTCCTAGGACATCGCCATGTTAAATTCGCCAGTTGTTTGCATGCAAAAGAGATTTATCGCGAACCAGTACTGGGTCTAAATGTACTAGAAGCGCGCTAGTTCAGAACTAGAGATTTTCCCCACAGGGTACATATACATGTACATATAAATTTTTACATACATACATTTGAATATGCATATACAGCAGGAAACCGCTAAATGGTGCATAATCCCGCTTAGTTATTATTAGGGATGTGCCGGATTGAGATTCTGCCGGATAACCGGATTCCGGATACCATGTAAAATATAAGAGCCGGATTCGGATATCCGGTAGACTGCTGCACTTATAAATGTCACAATATTGTATATCTCTTTTTGTTTAGTGACACACTTATGACCAGATTATCTGCTTTTTCGAGCTGAACTATCCCAAGAATGATACAATATATCATATGTTATATGCATGACGTCGAAATCGTCGATAATGATGTACTGGTGATAACCAGACCTTGAACAACCGGCTCTTAGCTTAGGTGAAAATACTTCTGTTTAAAATAGACATTAGATTTGAAGAACTTTTCTATTTACAGCAACAAAATTAAACCTTTATAGGAGCTGTTTTCATTATAAAGTCTTGCTTAAGCAGCAGCGGTATGGTACCGCGCGGTATAACTCCGTATGGCATGTCTGCTCATAGAGCGCTACTGCCATGCATATAATAGAGTAGGTAACGTCAATAACGATGTTTAACTGCACATTAGTGTTAACTAGAGATGGCGAAAACTACCCTAATGGGCTGTTTTTGCTAACGCGTAAAAGCACATTTAGCGCATTTAGCTCTAAATGCTACTCTAAATGTACATTTATCCATACAAAAATCGTCACCTAAATGCAACACCATTTCTGCATTAAGAATCTAAATCAGAGGTTCCCAAACTTATTTTTATCGTAGACCCCTTTCAAAACTTTACTGGTTTCGGTGGACCCATTTCTCATGCTCATTTCTAATATATTCCCAAAGCTCATCAAAAAATATGAAGATTAAATCAAACGATGTAATTTTGCATCGCGGGTGGGTTCAAAAACTAAATTCGGAGTTGTAAAAATAATAATAAAATATTTTCTTGTGTGATTACACACTTGCAAGTTATAAAAAACAGAGCTCGTAAAGCCATGAAAGAACTATTTCGCACTGAGGAGTTATATTTTTTAAGAGTTTGTATGTGATGCATGGGCGTAGCCAGGTAGGGGCAGGGGGGGGTTCTCGAGCATCCCCGCCCCCCCCTAACTTTCAAATTTTCCGTATATATATATAAAATAGTACCCTGAAATGCCAGCTTAATAGGGTCGAGCCCCCCCCCTAAATTTCATTCTGGCTACGCCGAATCACATTGTGATGTATTTGTCAAATAGTTTATTTGTGTTGATGGCATCATTTTTATATTTATCGCTGCGATAAAAATGAGTCATTCGCATTTTTAAAACACAAAACTTGAAACAACAAAACTGCTAAGCTTTTGCGCCAAACTTCAAATTCAGAAACTGGCAAAATAGAAAAACCCGAATCTAGACAAATCGATGATAAACAAACAAGCAAGCAAGGAGCTCAAAAAATGTTCCACCGTCTTATCCTCTTCAAAGCAGTATGGGCAAATGGAGTGGTCATTTACGCCTATCAGGAAAAAACTAGATAGACCTTCTGAGATTGAAGGCAACATGAGTTTTGCCCACCTGCATCCAATCAATGGCTCCCAGTCATTGCTCAGCGAAGTATCCACCAGGCCTCTGATGGTGGCTTCGATGGTCGAATTGGGGAGTGCTATAACTGGCTGCGGATCGAAGAATACCTGGTCTAACCCAACTGTGGCCAAAGGGTCAGATGTCTCATTTCCAGGCACTCCCGAGTTGCCCGGTACCCAGAGTAAAGCAAGCTCGTTATCTTTACCAACATAATTTAGTCGCCACTAGCATTGCCGAACTAGTTTGGAAGTACTTCGATAGAGGGCTGGCCAATTCTTTAAGTGTAGTTTGGCTGTACCTGTAGACACGTAAACTCCTTCCTCTCCACCACGAAGTCTATGGCTTTGGGAATTGCAAATACCTCAGCCTGGAAGACCGAAGCATATTCCCCAAGAGAAAGAGTGAAGCTTATCCACATTAACTTCGAAAAATACTCCAGATCCTGACTCTGAGTCAGTTTTGGAGCCATCAGTGAAGATTCGACAATGTACGAGTGCGGGCTCAGTGCTGGAATTAAACCAGCATTCCCCCTCAGTGAACTCTCTCTCTCTAGAATCTCTTTATCAAAGGTAATGGTGGCGTACTACCCTGTAGCATTGAAAAGACATAAGTGCTCAAATATCTGCCGTAGGCAATTTCCGCATCGCTTCACTCAGTGTTATACCAACATCCGATTCTTTTTAGTCTGACAAAAATTCCCACAATTCGAACATGGTTTAATGGAAAAAGTGGCAACATTTCTTTTTCGCGTATACAGTGGCTAGCTGCGTTTCAGTGATCGCCGATCGAGATCTCATTTATTATTTTACATTATTTGGATAAAGAAAAGTTACTCAAATTCAACATCGATGTGATGCTGATAGAAATCTGGATCAACTTGTGGTCAACTCTGTTTGTTTTGTTTCGTATTTAAGTGAGGAAATTTTAATTGACAGCACCGGCAATTGAATATATTCACAAACAAATTTTTGGTAATGGTTAAAACAATTCATATATTTGTATTGAATTTTTTCTTTACAAATTATTTTTTCCTTTTCAGTAGGGTTTTTCGCACATTATCTTCTCCGTGAGGATTGATCGTGATAGATACGGATCTGACTAAGCGTCTGGAACACGGCTGTTTGTCAAAAGCATACGATTTGGAACTCGCGTAAATGTACATTTGCTAAATGCGATAGCATGAACACTCTTCGAAAAACATATGTTTGAAAGCGCTTAATGTTGCATTTTAAATGCAACAAAAACGCTGCATAGGCGCCGTTTTTTCAATGTGTGGTTATCACTACCTCCCAGTTAAAGATCATTATCGACATCTTCGACATCATGCATTAAACATGGGATCGATAAACCAGTCAATGTATTTAACCGAAGCGTTTGCCTCCGGTTTGTGTTAACCGGATATTGAAAGGCCATTGCAGACCGTTTGCGACATGGTTTCAGCGTTCTACGCAAAAATTTGTTCATGAAATAATTTGGTATTAAATATATAAGCCTGAAAAGTGTTCTAGCATCGTTACAAAAATTTTAATTTACTGTACTATGGTCTTAGAGCTTACCCCACGACTCCCCCTTCTACTATTCTGTTAAAAAAGCTGTGGTGTGACAGAAATGTCAGGTGGAGTATGAAAATTTCCACTGTTAAACCATATCTGTCTTGCCGAATTTTTTACCATCGCTGTCTTAACATCAGCTGTCATTTCGTAGTTTGACAACTCAGTATTCATCTTGCCGCGCCATCTACATTGGGTACAGATTGGTGTGATTGGTTTGATGCCATTTTGAAGGTGATATGTTAGGGGACAAAGTTAAAAGAGAAATTTGACCGATGTTAAGACACATTTAGTAGAAAATGGAGACCTGCACCCGGATTCCAACATTCGCTATCGCTAAAACTCCAACGCCAAAAAGTGCTAAATGAATTTTAGCAATTTTCAGCGATTTTCGCGATTGTATCATGAAAATGCAACTCTAAAAATCGCCAGTTTTGGCTCATTTTTTGACAAATTTTAGCGATAAACAAAATGAACCCGGATAAAGTGAGTGAACTGTTTTTGACAGCTCAAACAGCTAAAA